TTTGCTTCCTGACTGGGGTGATGTCACCAGCTGTCTTATGCTCCTGCTGCCATTCCTTCCCACCATGACGCCTTCCCACCATGACCCCGTCCCACCATGACGCCGTCCCACCATGACGCCTTCCCACCATGACGCCGTCCCACCATGACGCCTTCCCACCATGACGCCGTCCCACCATGACGCCTTCCCACCATGACGCCTTCCCACCATGACGCCTTCCCACCATGACGCCGTCCCACCATGACGCCGTCCCACCATGACGCCTTCCCACCATGACGCCTTCCCACCATGACGCCGTCCCACCATGACGCCTTCCCACCATGACGCCTTCCCACCACGACGCCTTCCCACCATGATGCACTACCTTCAGAGGTACTCTGAGACAAAGTAAATCCTTAAATTTTTTTGTCAAATAAATGCTAAACATAACTAATATACAATCATAATGTAAAAAATTGCAGTCATCCTGGCATGGTGGTGCCTGCTAGTCATTCTAGTACTTGGGAGACTAGGACAAGAAGATTCTGAGTTCAAGGCCAGCCTGGGCTGGATAGTGACTATGAGGCCAGCCAACTCGAAAATGAAAAAAAAAAAAAATGCCCCTTTGTGGCACACACCTTTAATCCTAGCACTCAGGAAGCAGGGGCAGGTAGATCCTTATGAGAACAAGGCCAACCTGGTCTACATAGCAAGTTCCAGGCTAGCTAGGGCTACAGGGAACCATGTCTCAAAAAAACAAAACCAACCAAACAAACAAAAACTAAAACAAAACCAACAAAATTGGAAATTGAGCCATCGTAAGTCAACTACCATCTACATATGACCCCTTTCCTCTTTTCTAATTAATAAGCAATCTGTACATTAATCCTTTAAGACCATGTGAATATCCTCTTCTCTTGAATCAATTGTTCCTCTGGTGTTCAAGTGTTTGCAAATGCATGCGCTCCTGCTTGTAAAGCCAGAGGTCATCCTGGAGTGTTTCTCAGGAGCTGTCCATATTGTCTTTTGAGACAGGGTTTCTGAGACCCGGAGCTCATCAATTAGCCTAGGCTACCTGGGCAGTGAATCCCAGGAATCCTCCTCTCTCTGCCTCCTTAGTGTTGGGATTACAAACTTGCACAACCATACTTGTTCGTTTTTTACACAGGATCTACTATGTAGCCCTGGCTGCCAGGAACTCACTATTTAGACCAAATTTACCCCAAACTCCGAGATCCACCTGCTTCTGCCTCTGCCTCTGGAGTGTTAGGATTAAGTATATATGCCACAACACCCGGCCCATGCCTAGTTTTTAATGTGGGTTCTGGCATGGACCAAAGTCCTTATGTTTGAGTGACAAGTATTTTAAGTACCAACTGAGCCATCTCTCCAGTCCTGTGTGTGGTTTTTGTTTGGTTTTTTTGTTTTTTGATAGGGTCTCCCTAGACCCAGCCTGCCTAGAAGTCATGATGTGAACCAGGGTGGCCTCAATCTCTCAGAGCTCCATCTGCCTCTGCCTCTCAAGGGCTGGGATTAAAGGCAAACCACACCTGGCATTCCAGTTCTGTTTTTTTTGGTTTTGTTTTTTTATTTTTGAGATAGGGTCTTCCTTTAGCCCCAGCTAGCCTGGAACTCACAGAGATCCACCAGTCTCTGCCTCTTGAGTGCTGGGATTAAAGGGATGTGGTTTTCTTATTCTTCTTTTTTTAAAAATATTTTATTTTAATTTTATGTGTATGAGCGTTATGCCTGAATGTAAGTGCACCCCTGTCATGCAATGCCCTCAGAGGACAGAAGAGGCTGTCAGATCCCATGGTACTGGAATTACAGTTGTTAGCTGCCATGTGGGTGCAGGGATTCGAACCTGGGTCTTCTGCAAGAACAGTCAGTGTTCTTAACCACTGAGCCATCTCTCCAGCCCAAGCATGTGGTTTTCTAACTTTTCCTTCCTTTCTGTGTATGTTAGTTGGCATTTCTGAATAGGGCTTTTCTATTTCTTTGGGGTTTGTTTGTTTTTTACCTTTTAATCTTTTATTTAAAAAACAGGACTGGAGAGATGGCTTGTGCCAAGAGTGTGCATGTGGAGGTCAGAGAACAACTTGCAGGAATCAGTTCGCTCTTTCTGGGTCTTGGGGATGGAACTCAGGTTGTTGGGTTTGGTGGCAAACACCTTTACTCACTAAGCATTCTCACTGGACCTTATCTTTTTGTTTTTGCAAAGGGACAGAGTCGCTACTCAGTTCTGAGCTCCTCCCCAGCCTGGACTCCCAGTCTGTTTTAGGCATACCTCCTGAGCTACAATAATGGGAAAGTGTCCAGCTCTGCCCTGTGCCCATGGGCAATCTAGAGACCTTCCCTGGGTACTTCCTCGTCAGTCCAGGAGGTGAATTGGGGCTCAGCACTGTGAGGCTTGGGCCCCACATCCCACCCTCTAGGTTCTACAGGAGGCTCACGCAGGGCTGGGCCCACAAAAGGCACTAGACTAACCCAGCCTGCTCATTGGGGGTGGCAGAGGTTAACAGAACAGGAAGGGAGGGACAGTACCTGTACTTACTGTCCTAGCCATGGAAGGCTCTGTGTTTGCTATGTGGGTGGGGCCCACCAGGCCTTCAGCAGCTAGGCCCAAGGCCCAGGGCCCAACCTCCCCTTCACTCTGCTCTTTTGCAGGCCCTGCTGAGGCTGGCAGCCATAATAATTCTCCCTGGGAACTGCAGAGATCTGGTAATTCAATGAAGCGCCAAGAGGGTCTGCTAACCAGAAGAACTACAATTCCCAGAGCTAACAATGAGCTCCAGGGCCAGCCCCAGCAGCTCTGCACTAAAACAAAATCTCACCTGTTCTGATTCCAGGTGTGTGTGTGTGTCTTTCCTTCTTAAACCTGAGCCCACTTGGGGCTGGTGAAGACCACCTGGCTCATCCATTCACACTGGCTGGCTCAGCTCTTGTTCTGGGCCAGGCTGGGTATGTTTCTGTAGAGGCAGAGAAGTGGGTAGCAAGATGTGGCTACACTAAACTCGAGTTAGATGGGGATGGACCCACGAAAGGGGACCAGGGGACATGGCTTGGAGGTAGAGTCTGTCTAGAACCCACCAGTGAGGGAGTGGGGGCATAGGTCAGTGGTAGAGGACCTGCCTAGAATCCATCAGTGGCATAGATCCATCCTAGAGTACTTTTGATCCCCAGCACAAAAAAGGGAGGAGTCGTTGCTGGGATGTGGCTCAATTGTAGAGCATGGAAGAAAGAAAAAAGGTCAATTTCTCCTGAGAGTATAGCCTGGGCTGGTTAGTCACCATCTATGTTCCAGTGCATAGCAGATGCTTAACTGGGAGGCTCTCATATGCTCCACTGTGTCTTTTCACGTGCTTTTGCTAGTTCCCGGATTAGTGCTTGCCCTGTCAAAAGTGTGCTGTACCTCCCAACGTGGCCCCTGAGCCTTTACATACCCTGTTTCCACCACCAGGCTTAGTCGGTCCATGTCTATAGAGGTAAGTGAGAGCCTGGCACCAGGCAGGGTGCCTTAAAGACTCAATGAATGAAGGACTGCCATTGTCTGTTGTGTACAATGGAAGCAGCAAGGACACGCGGGACCCTCCCTATTCACTGCGGCCCTCCCGGAATCAATGTATCTTCTTATCTGCCCGGGGGAGGAGGGGGGTGCGGGTGCGGGTGGAGTGGGAATCTGGGCTAGGGTCTGCCCTCGGCCCCTCGCTGGCCTCCCGAGAAGCCCACTTTCCTGGAGAGTCTGCACCCTTCCACCCAACTCAGTCCAGGTCACCTGACGCCCACGGCGCGTTCACCAAGGCACCCCGAGCCACCAGCACGTGGTCCAGGGATCCCAGCTTCCCATTGGCCGCTGGCCTCTTCCCCCGTTTGCGGTTGGCCGCGGCTCCCCCTGTGCAGCCCCGCAGTGGTGGAGTCCGCCGCTCTTTAAACCACGCCGGGCGGGACCACTGAGAGCGCACAGGGGAGTCGGGGGGCCCCGCGGCGGAGGGATCCCACTGGAATGTTTCCGCCGCGAGGGGGGGGCAGGGCGGCGCCCATTGGCCTGGGTGCCGGATGGCCGCCGCTGATTGGTCGGCTCGGGACATGGGTCCCGCCCGCCATAAGCCGGCTGCTGGAGAGGCCCAGACTGGAGTTCGTAGAGGCCGAGCTGGGCGAGCGGGTGGCGGCGGTGCAGGTGAGTGTCTCCCGCCCGGGAGCGGCCCCCTGGACGCGGAGCCGGCGGGGCGGCGGGGCGGAGCCAGCGAGGCGGCGGCGAGGCCCCAGACCCAGGCCCTCAGCGGCCCCTCCCCGCCGGCGGCCCCTCCCCGCCGCCATCCCGGACGGCGCCTCCTGCCCGGCGGGGGCTGCAGCCACGTCCCTGCCGTCTTCCGGGGCTGCCCCGGCCTGGGTACAGTCGGTGCCCCCGACCTCTGCCCCGCGGGGACGGAGAGAGAACCAAGGTCTGGATAACAGTAACAACAGCAGTAATAGACGGTGCCGGGCGCTTTATTTACCGTGTACAGCTTTGAATCAAAACGCCCTTCTGGGAGAGGCTGTTAACTTTGAGAAGTGAGGGTCCAGAGAAGTGAAGTGACTTGCCCAAAGTCACACAGTAGGTGGAAATGAGGGACTCACCTTTGAGTCCAGAAGTGGATGGGTCCCAGGATCAGATGTTCCTCCTAACCACCTCCTGGGCTCATTGCCCTCCGCCTCCCCCGTAGTCGCTTCTGAGCCGCACCTGCCGGTCTTTGCTTCCCACAAGTCACCAGGCACCTTCGCTTATAGGAAGCAACCCTCCCCCCATCCTTTCAGAGCTGGAGAGCAAATATCTGGGTCCTCCAGCCCGGGTCCTTATCTGCACACTCTTTCAAATGTAGAGGACTGGTAGGGAGCAAGGATCTGGGGGCTTGAGTTCTGCGGAAGGGGAGCTACATGGGTCAAGACTGAGCAGTAGGCGCGTTCCCTCCCCAAACACAGGGAGCCGAAACCCTAAGGAGCCGGTTTTTCAAGAATGAATCAGAGGCCTCCCGCCCAAGCAGCCCAAGCAGCACTGTGTTCAGTGAATTAGGGGGAGGGACTACGGGAACAAGTATGGTGTCCTCTAAGCCAGGCTTTACTTCAGCTCCAGGAAGCCCTTTCCGTGTTCCTTACTCCCCCACTTCTGATTGCAGGGTTGCTACATTTCAGGTTCTTCTTGGGATGAGAGGGCAAGGCTCTGGAAATATTCAGCTAGCTTCCCTTCAGCCCTGAGAGGACAGCCTGGGGAGGTATTCACAATTAACTCCCCAGCAGTCATGTTGGGGAGCTCATACCATAGTCAGTCAGGGAGAGAAGACGTTCTATAATCTCACCCCCTCATGAAAGCCAAGACCTGGCACATGCTAGACAAGTGCTCTGTCATTGAGCTAACCCCAGCCCCTACAAATATTTATTGAGCAGCCACTGTGTCAGGCACTGTATTTGGCACGAAGGAAACAGCTGTGAGCAGTACAAAACTTCTGCATTCTAGTGGAGAACAGTCAACAAATAAGTTAGGGAAGGCAGCCACTCCAGACCCTGCTAAGTGCAGGTGGTGTTGCAGGGAGCAGCTTTGGGCAGGGGGCTGCACAGCAACCTTTGGAGTCTAGCCCAGGCAGAGCGAAGGTGGAACAAAGGTAGAGGTCTGACTCTGCAGGAGTTCTGGGTACACAGTAAACAGGCTACATTTTTTTTTTTTTTTTTAATCTTTTTGAGACAGGGTCTCCCTGTAGCCCCAGCTGGCCTGGAACTTCCTATGTGGACCACACTGACCTTGAACTCACAGAGATCTGCCTGCCTCTGCCTCCCAAGTGCTGGGTTTAAAGGCGTGTACCACCATGCCCAGAATGTTTTTTTTCTTTTAAGGTATGGAGTTTCCCCCTGTGAGGTGGGGTCTTTTTGTAAGATTGGAAACATATGAGCAATGCCATCTGGTTTGCATTTTAAAATAGAGGCACAAAGTTAAATAACAGCCTGGAGGTTGGAAGACAAGCTCTATCAGGGTAGCTTGTAATTAAGTTCATGGGTATCTTGTGGATCATAGGAGCTGTTCCAATGGGCTGGGGCAAGCCAGGAAGGCTTGAAGGAGATAGCCTGGAATAGGCCTCGACTGGGATGCCTCTGGACCAGGGAGGAACCCATGTAACAGTAATGACAGTAACAGTCTGAGAGTATGGCTCAGTAGTAGAGTGCCTGCCTAGGATCCACAGGTGAGGAGCTGGGGCATGGCTTAGTCATAGATCTCTCTAGCATATGCTAGGCCCTCAGCTCTGTTCCCATCTGCACAGATAACACTTCCTGAAATAGTAAGCTAAAGTCTGAGCAGGCCTCTTTGGGATCCCAAAAGCACCTGAGACGGGAAATTTTGCTGGTTTTTCAGATGAGGAAACTGGGGCCCCATAGAGAGAAGTGACTTGGCTTTGCCTACACAGCTGGTAAGTGGCAAGGGTAGAACTTGAATCTAGGCCACAGCCCTCTCCAGGATCTGGAGAACTAGTTTATTAGTCACTCACTTTCCTCTGCCATTATGCCCCTCATGGGAGAGGACCCATGGCCAGGTTTAAACCAGAACCGTGGATGTGGACAGAGACAGAAAGTAGGAGGCTGGAGAATGGGGTGTGGAGTGTATAGCTTAAGAGGGCAGAAAGTGCAGTGATCATCATTAACACTTATAGACCCCTTAATAGTGTTCTCAGAACGGTTCTCGGAACAGTTCCAGGAACATACATAATTTCCTTTGAACTCAGAAAAGTTAAGATATTTACCAAAAATCATGCAGCTACTAGAAGATGAAGCCTAGTTCCAGTTGATGGTCACAACATCCTTCCCCTGTGGAGAAGTGGCAGCAGTGTGTGGGAGCTGCTGCTGCTTCTCAGTGAGCTGTTAGTGTGGTGAAATAAATGTGAGGGGCAGTACCATGGAATGAATTTGAATTCATTTTTGTGAAACATTTGTGAGCAACTCTTGTGTGCCACACTGCAGTTGATGCTCTGAATAGAGATAAGGGAAGCAGTCAAGACTAGTGTCCAGACTATATATAGTTCTCAAAAATTAATAAGAAAAAGTTCAGCCCTCCAAGCAAAAACAAAACAGCCATGTATGGTGGTGCACCTGTTATCTCAGCACATGGGCGACAGGAGGATTACACAGGGAGACCCTGAGAGATAACTCGGCGGTTAAGAGCACTGCCTACTTTTGCAGAGGACCTAGGTTCAGTTCCCAACACCACATGATGACTAACACCCATCCATAACCCCAGTTTTTTTTTTTTTTTGAGACAGGGTTGGTCTTATAACCCCAGCTGTCCTGGAACTCACTATGTAGACCAGGCTGGCCTTGAACTCACATAGAGATGAACTAAGATGCTTGATATGTGCTTGGGGATATATGTGATGCAAGATGCCAAGTGTTGATAACTATTAGGGCTGGTGCTTGCTAGTCCATCATACAATCTGTCCTCTTGTATATATATAATGGGGGGGGGTCTGGAGACAGGGTCTTCTTGTAGCCCAGCTGGCTTGAAACTTGCTATGTAGATCAGGCTGGCCTTGAACTCACCTGCCTGCCTCTGCCTCCACCTCCTGAGTGCTGGGATTAAAGGCCTGTGCTACCACACTGGCTATAACTCTAGTTCTAAGTGGTCCCTGGACACCAGGCACCTACATGGTATGTTTACATACATGTAGGGAAAACACTCCTACACATAAAAGAATTTTTTTAAAAAAAAATTTTATGCGTATGAGTGTATTGTCTGCATGTATGTGAGTGCACCCGTGTCGTACAATGCCACAGAGGTCAGAAGAGGGCTTCAGATTCCTCTGGAACTGGAGTTAAGGATGGTTTGTAGCCGCCATGTAGGTGCTAGGAATCGAACCCGGGTCCTCTGCAAGAGCAGTCAGTGCTCTCAAACACTGAGCCATCTCTCCAGCCCTGAAAAATAAAATTTTTAAAAGTTATTTTTATTTTATGTATATGTGTATTGCCTGCATGCACCCTTGTTATGCAGTGCCCACGGAGGTCAGAAGAGCACATCAGATCCAGTGGAACTGGAATTATGGATGGTTGTTGGGTGCTGGGAATCAAACCTGGGTCCACTGTAAGAGCAACCAGTAAGTACTCTTTTAACTGCTGAACCATCTCTCCAGTGCCTCCCCCACCCTTCTTTTTTTTCTTTTTTTTTTTTTTCTTTTTTCTTTTTTTATTTGAAGGCAAAATAAGATGGACACCAGAGATGGGGAAAGATGGCTCACTTGGTAAAGTGCTTCCTGTGCAGCCATGAGGACCTGAGTTTGATAACCAGCTGGATGTGGTGGCCAGGCACAGTGGTACATGTCTTTAATCCCAGCACTCATGAGGCAGAGGCAGACAGATCTCTCTGAGTTCAAGAGCAGCCTGGTCTGATAGCAAGTTGCAAGGCAGCCAGGACTATATAGTGAGACCCTGTATTTGGCAGGGGCAGGGGGCCAAGGCTGGGGATGGTGGTGGTGAGCACATGTGATCCCAGTGCTAGGGAGATGGAGCAGGAGGCTCCCTGGGGTTCATTGGCCTAGCTAGCTCAGTCTAATTGTTAGCTCCAGGCCTAGGAGACCATCTCCAAAAACAAAGTGGGGAGACCTGGATAATAGCACATGCCTTTAATCCCAGCACTCCTTAGGCAGAGGTAGTTGGATTTTTGTGAGATTGAGGCCAGCTGGAACTACAGAGAAACCCTGTCTCAAGAAAACAAAAAGCCAGTAGGGCTGGGTATACAGACTACAGCTTAGTGGTAGTGCCAGTAGGGCTGGGTACATGGACTACAGCTTAGTGGTAGTGCCAGTAGGGCTGGGTATACAGACTACAGCTTAGTGGTAGTGCCAGTAGGGCTGGGTATACAGACTACAGCTTAGTGGTAGTGCCAGTAGGGCTGGGTATACCGGGTACAGCTTAGTGGTAGTGCCAGTAGGGCTGGGTATATGGAGTACAGCTTAGTGGTAGTTCCAGTGGGGCTGGGTATATGGAGTACAGCTTAGTGGTAGTGCCCTTGCCAAGCATGTGCGATGCCCTAAATTCGTTCTCTCCTACCCTCAAAAAAATGGGTCTGAAGAGATGGCTCAGCAGGTAAAGGAGCTTTCCACCAAGTCTCATGACCTGAGTTCAGTCCCCAGGACCCACATGATGGAAGGAGCAAAGTAACTCCCACAGCTTTACAAAGGCACCATGGAGTACACATGCATATATACATAAATAAAAATTTTTGAGACACTGTGTACTCTGACTGGTCTGGCACTAACTGTGTAGACCAAGCTGGCCTTGAAGTAGTAAAGTTTTAAAATAGAGTGGATGGCATTTGAGAAATGATACCCAAGGTTGACCTCTAACCACATGTACCCACACATACAACTACATCCCTCCTTCCCCCACATAGACCATGCATTTTATAAGACTGAGTAGGGGATGGGAGAGGTGGCTCAGCAGTCAGAGCACCTACTGCTTTTGCAGAGGACCTCAGTTTGGCTCCCAACACCTATGTCAGGCAGCTTACAACCACTGTAACTCAAGCTCCAGGGGTCTGGTTCCCTCTTCTGGCCTCTGTGGGCACTTGTACTCATGTACACACACAGACACATATACGCATAATTAAAAATTAAAAAACATTGGTCTGGAGAGATGGGTCAGTAGTTACAACCATTGGCTTCTTCTGCAGAACACCCGGGTTCTCTTCCCAGCACCCACATGGTGGCTAACAGCCATGTGCCTACAGTTCCAGGGGATCCAGTGCTCTCTTCTGACCTCTGCAGGCATTGTATGACCTGGGTGCATTTACATACATGCAAGCAATACACTCATACATATAAAATCAAAACTTTTAAAAAATATTTTCAAAGGCAAAGTAGAGCTGATGAGATGGCCCGGCAGGTCAAGTTACCTGCCACTATAGCTGAGGACCTAAGTTCTACTCCCAGAACCCAAATGGTGGACGGTAAACAAACTCCACAAAGTTGTCCTCTGAACTCCCCATGTGTACTGAGGTGCGCACACACACAGTGTTTTTAAAAAGTAGGCCTGGTGGCTTGTCTTTAATCCCAGCACTTGGAGGCAGAGGCAAGTGGATTGAGGCCAGTATGGTGTACATAGGGAGTTCCAGGCCGGCTGGGGCTAGAGGAAGACTTTGTCTCAAAAAGAAAAGTACACATTTTAAAGACAGGGCCAATCCAGAACATTAAAAAAAAGTATAAAAAAGTCAGTGTCAAGCATTCTCGGGGGCTGAAAAAATACAAGCTCTTGCCCCAGCACTGTATTGGGAAATGGAAAGGGGACTGTGAGGTAGGGCATATGCTTTTGCTGGGAAAACAGGTCCCTGTACAGGGCAGGAACACCAGTGTGTCCTCTACCCTGTGGGATGCAGGGGTTACTGAGTAGCAAGTTTAAAGTCTGCTCATCCAAGAAAAGTGTATTCATGGCTGTTCTGTGCTAGTCACTGTTCCACCTACTGAGGGTATAGGAATGACACGAACCTGCCTTCAGCCATCCAGATCGTACCCTGGACAAAAGAGGGAGTAGCCAGTCAGAGGTCTGAGGCTTCTGTGGTCCAGGTGTTGGAGCAACACAGAGGAAGCCTGTGTGGCTGGAGGGAGGGGATGGTGGAAGGAGTGAGAACAGGTGTGGGCCACAGGAGGATGGGGACAGTCTGGGAGAGGTCAGAGGACAAAAGTGACATGACTGTTTGCAGGGTCATTCTGGCTGCTGTCTTGACAAACGAGAGTAAGAGGAAGCCTGAAGACACAGAGGAGCCAACTCTAGTGTAGGTAAGTGGGGATGGGGATGGAGCACATGGAGTCAGAATGAATGTATGAATGATGGAACCCTCTCACAAGGATTGGGTGCGGCCAGCTGGGTTTCCTTGAGCCTGGGATAGCCCCTCAGAAGAATATGGAGGCACAAAGTTCTTATATATAAGTGCGTATTTGGGATCCCAGCACTCAGGAGATGGAGGCAGGTAGAGCACAAGCTCAGGGTTATCCTTGGCTATATAGCAAACTTGAGGCCAGTCTGGGCTACATGAGATCTAGTAAGGTGGAAGAAATGTCACTGTGGACAGGCGTTTTTCAAGGGAAATTGAGTCACTTGATAAGTTTCTTTGTGGGATTGCAAGTCAGAAGTCCTTAAGGGGGCTTCTGGCATTTTGAACTCTGGAAATGTGACTTGAAAACAAAATTGGGCTGGGTGTGGTTCAGTAGTTGAGCGTCACCTGGTGTGCAGGAGGCCTGGGTTCTATCCCAGCACTGCCAGTTCCATCTGCCCCCTGTACCTCCCTCCCTCTGGCAGTCCTGGCCACATGGCCTCCTCACTGGTCCTCAAATATGCTGAGTGTGACACACTTTGGCCTTTGCACTGGCTGTTCCCTGTGTACCCAGAACATTCTTATCCCACGTCCTTTTTGCGGGGAGAGAAGGGATTCTGGAGATGGAACGCAGGGCTTCACATATACTGGGCAAACACCCTGCCAATGAGTCACACTCCCTGTTCCAGCTAGTTTATTGTAGTTCTCATAAATCAGGAAAAGACAGCCTTCTAGCAGACACATGGCCACACTGAGGTGTACAGTGCAACAGACAGTGTGTGGCTGAGGTCCAGCCCTACTTGTGACCTTGATACCTACTGTGTCCGCACAGCAAACAGCTTGTGTAGATGGATATGGTGTTCCTAGTCAGGGATCTTGCTTTTGTCTTATTAAAATAGCACAGAGGACTGGAGAGATGGCTCAGTGGTTGAGCACGGACAGCTTGGATTCAATTCCTAGCACCTACATGGCAACTAACACCCATCAGTAACACCAGTTCCAGGGAATCCAGCGCCCTTTTCAGAGCTCCGCAGGCATTACACTTATGTGGTATACTTACATGCAGGCAGGCAAGCACTCAAACTTTTTTTAAAGATGGTGCATTGAGCTGAGCATGTAATAGTTCCAGCTGCTGGGGAGCTCAGGAGGATCACTTGAACTTGACCAAATATTCAAGACTAATTTGGACAATATAGCAAGACCCTGACTCAAAACACAAAAAAGGTGCATGAATACAGTTAGCCACCCCAAAATGTGTGTTTGGAAGAGAAAGGGAGAAAGAAAAGTGTTAGAATCCAGGTCTGTAGACGACCCTCCCTCAGAGCAGCAAAGCCTCACAAGACAGGCCCTGAGGCCCCCTTGCAAAACAGGAACTGGCCAGGCAGCTGCATTTAGAGCTGTCTCAGCACAAAGCTGTTTCCAGATAATCTTAGAAGATAAACAGGCCCCTGCACCCCAGACCCACTGATGTAAGAACCGTCTCAGTACAAGCTGCTTCCCCCTGATATTTTTCACAATGTGTAGACCCCCTTAATCTCATGACCCAAGACCGGGTTGCTATAAAAGACTGTCTCAGCAGAAGCTGCTTCTTCCAGTCAAGATCCAGACCCCTCTGCTTGGAATAATTTTTTTCCCATGTTCTGCACTCTAGCCCCCCCCACCCATAAAAGCCCCCAGCCAACAGCCTGTAAACTAACAGCTCCTCCATCCCAACTGGGGACTGTCCTGTGCACTTTCTCTGCCAATAAACTCTACCCCGCCAGAGTTTTTGTCTGTGTCCTGGTGCTTTCTCCCTATTCACTCAGTTTACCTATCAAAAAGAAAAATAAACAGGGCTGGAGAGACGGCTCAGCAGCTAAGAGTAGTTGCTGTCCACACATGAGGTCCGGAGTTTGAATCCCAACACCCACATAATAAGCTGGGCATGGTCCTCGGGGAGGCAGAGACAGGAGGATTGCTGGGGCTTGTTGGCTTCCAGCCTAGCCAAAACACCAGAAGCTGAGGATCAGTGAGGTGGCTGTCTGAGAAGGAGCAAAGGAGACAGTGGTGGAAGCAAACAGCATGGCCTCCTTTGGCCTCTGCTCACACAGCAGCACACACCTACATGCAGGTACGCATGCACCTTACAGAAATACAAAGAATTTTATTTACAAACATTAAGGAAGCTGGGCGTGGTGGCTCACACCCTTAAGCCCAGCACTTGGAGGCAGAGGCCAGCGGCTTTCTGAGTTCACAGCCAGCCTGGTCTACATAATGAATTCCAGGCCAGCTGGGGCTACAGAGAGACCCTGTCTCAAAAACACCAAAAAAATAAAAATTTTTAAAAAATATATTGAGGAAAATAGAGCTGGTAAGCTGGCCCAGTGGGTAAAGGTACTTGCATGCAAGCCTATCAACCAGGTTTTATCCCCAGAACCCACAGTAGGAGAGAACAGACTCTAGGAAGTTGTCCTCTGACCTCATGCAAGCACTGGCATTCTCATTCTCTCTCTCTCTCTCTCTCTCTCTCTCTCTCTCTCTCTCTCTCTCCCTCTCCCTCTCCCTCTCTCTCCCTCCCTCCCTCCCCCCCCCACAGTGGATGGCCTTTGCCAAGCCCTTTGGGAGAGGGTAGAAAGATAATTAGCCCTGCCAATAAGTTCTAAGAGGAAGTGACATGTAACACTGGCAGAGGAATTTAATTACTGGAGAAAAAACCTCCAAAGCAAAATTGGTCCTGGGCAAGGCGACCTAGCACAGCTACCATGGTGACGATTCTGTCAGGCAGGGTCCTGAGTGACAGTAATCTTTGCCAAGCCCTTTGGGAGAGGGTAGAAAGATAATTAGCCCTGCCAATAAGTTCTAAGAGGAAGTGACATGTAACACTGGCAGAGGAATTTAATTACTGGAGAAAAAACCTCCAAAGCAAAATTGGTCCTGGGCAAGGCGACCTAGCACAGCTACCATGGTGACGATTCTGTCAGGCAGGGTCCTGAGTGACAGTAATGAACAAGTCCTCTGACAAGATGTAATGAATGTGGCAAGAAAAAACAAGCCAGGTATAGAGGGCACATGCCTGAATCCTAGCACTCGAGGCTAAGGCTCAAGGTCGCCTCAGCATGGTGCACATATGGAAGTCTGAGGACAACTCAATGGAGTTGATTCTTTCCTTCCACCATGCCGGACGCAGGGATCAAACCCAGGTCATTAGGCCTGATGACAAGTGTCTTTATCTGCCAAACGTCTCACTAGTTCTACACCTTGGTTTTTTTGAGACAGTCTCTCACTAGCCTGGAGTTCACCAAGTAGGTTAGGCTGACTGACCTTTGAGGTCCAGGGATCCTTCTGTCTTTTCCCCACCAGCTCTGAGATTATAAGCACACACTGCCACATCTGGCTTTAAAAAAAAATATTTTATGTAAGCCGGGCATGGTGGCACACACTTTTTTTTTTTTTTTTTAATTTTATGTGTATGAGTGTATTGCCTGCATGTATGTGAGTGCACCCGTGTCATGCAGTGCCGCAGGAGGTCAGAAGAGGGCATCGGATTCCCCTGGAACTGGAGTTAAGGATGGCTCATAGCCACCATGTGGGTGCTAGGAATCGAACCTGGATCCTCTGCAAGAGCAGTCAGTGCTCTTAACCACTGACTCATCTCTCCAGCCCCATGGCACACACCTTTAAGTCCCAACACTGAAGAGGCAGAAGCAGGCAGATCTCTGAGTTCCAGGCCAGCCTGTCTACATAGCGAGTTCCAGGCCAGCTGTGGCTACAGGACTGTCTCAAAAAGACAAAAAAAAAAAAAAAAAGTGTGACACTTTATTCTGCTGTGAGAGATGAACCCAGGATCTTATTAAGCACACACCACTGATCTGCGTCCACATTCTGGGTTCTGAGTCAGCCCTCTGTATCCACCAGTTCCACATACCAGATTGAACCTGCAATGGATAGGAAATATTTAGGCAAGCCAGGTATGCTGGTATACACCTTTAATCCAAGTGACTTTGGAGGCTAAGGCAGGATTATAGATTCAAGACCTGCTTGGGCTACAGAGGGAGTTGACAGCCTGGGTAAGTGAGAAAGACACTGTCTCAAAATGAAAAAGGTCAGAGGATGTAGCTCAGGAATAAGCATTATGAAGCCCTAGGATCAAATTCTAGTAATTGGGAGGGAGGGGCAAAGGGAGAGAAGGCAGGGGAGAGGGAGGGATTGGTTGATCCAGGAAAAGCCTTGTACCTATACTGAACATAGATTTTTTTTTTCTTGATTTACTCCCTAAGCAATGCAGCATAACAGGTTTCATAGCATTTATATTGCATAAACTATTTGAAATCTGTACGGGTTATTCAGAGTGTATGTGAAGGGCAGTGCCTCTGTAGCCATCTCGCCAAACCTGTGCAGATGCTCTGGGTTCCATCCCCATCACTGTGAAAATACAAATACACAAGAGGCTGTGCATAGATTTTTGTGCACATACATTCATTTTATATAAGGGACTTGCATTCCGGGATCATGATATCATGGAAGGTCTTGGAACCATGTGGATTGGAACAATGCAAGCTGATCTCAGGGCTAGGGTGTGACTCTAGTGGAACCCTTGCACAACCCACAGCAAGTCCCTGGGTTAGTGCTCTTGAACTGCAAAATAGCATTAACTTTTGTCCCATGTGGTAGTGACAAGACAGGAGGGCCCCGAGGCTGCTACCCAGCACCCAAACCTTCTCTTCCTGCAGGTCTCCCGACTGAGCCCGATTCTCTTCGCTGCTCATGCCGCTGGGACTAGGGCGGCGGAAAAAGGCACCACCTCTGGTGGAAAATGAAGAAGCAGAGCCTGGTCGTGGTGGACTGGGTGTTGGGGAGCCAGGGCCCCTGGGCAGTGGTGGGGCAGGGGGACCCCAGGTGGGTTTGCCCCCACCTCCTGCTGCCCTGCGCCCACGCCTGGTATTCCACACCCAGCTGGCCCATGGTAGTCCCACTGGCCGCATTGAGGGCTTCACCAATGTCAAGGAGCTCTATGGCAAGATTGCTGAGGCCTTCCACCTGCCAGCTGCTGAGGTATCTGTGGGAACTAGGGCCCCCAAGGGTGGACCACAGACCTGATGGTGAGCTAGGGGTCAGGTGTTCACACTGCATCTTGAGAGACTTCTACACCAGTAGGTTGTATGAGAATGCTAAGTTCCCATTAGGTCTTCAGAGGCCTGCATCCTCTGGTAGATGGGTGTTGATGACCACAGGTGGTCTCCAAGAGGCTTTAGGAAGCCTGTGCCCAGAGCACTGTGGGAGTTGGAGGTCTGTTTTACTTTCTATAACTGACAAAACACTACCCAAAATCAACTTGGGGAGGAAAGAGTTTATATTCTTTTACATCTCCCAGGTCGCAGTTCACCACTGAGAGAAAGCCAAAGCAGGAACTGAGGGCAGGAGCCTGGAGCTCAGGCCATGGAGGAACGCTGCTGCCTTGCTCCCTAGTCCATGTTCAGCCTGCTTTCTTATACAACACAGGACCACTTGCCTAGGGGTGGCACCTCCCACAATAGGTTGGACCTTCCAGGGGATCCAACAGCCTCTTCTGTCCTCCGCAGGCACGACACGGGTGCACTTACCTACGTGCAGGCAATACACACGTACATAAAAATAATAATTTTTTTTTTTAAAAAGGGATGAATTGGGCACGCTTAAACAAAACCAAAGGCCAGCAAAGTAGCTCAAGGCTGAACATCTTGGATTCACTTATAATCTGGGCTCCAAAGGACGTGGGCAGCTCCACTTCTCTGGCTGTGCCATCCACAGCACACACAGCTTGTCTCGTAGGCTCAAGCCAGCTCCACTCCACACCTGTCGCTGGCTGCCTTTGGTTCCCATGGTCGTCCCATGGTCCTATCATGTCCAATATGTTGGGGTCTCCTTTGCAGCAGAGGCTGCACCTTCACAAGTGGGCTCTTCTGGCCTCTCAGGATGCAAAGCTTCGGATCTTCTCCGTGACTTCTTCATGCCTTCAAAACCAGTACCATGTAGGAGATTTACACATTACCAAGTCCTGCTTCCAAGCTTGAGCTTTCAGATCTGGGCACCCTCTGGACCACAGCTTCTATATGCTAACCCCAAGGAAATACTTTCCAGAAGATTTCACCTCAGTGATGCTGCTCTCTTGTTACAGCTGATTTTCAGTCCCAGCTAACCAGCATCAATTCTCCCAGTAAAAGTACAAAAAGCTTAACTTCCAAAAATTCTTAATTCTACACTAACAGTCCTGATACAGTATTTGCTTCCTTTGACGCTTCACAAGCCAGGCCTCCATCTTTCAGCATAACTGTTCCAAACTCCACAGCAACAGCTCACTAAGCTCTGAGCATTCAGTGGCTTTTCCAGCCCAAAGTTCCAAAGGCTTCTACAAATCTCCCCCAAACGACATGGTCAGGTTTGTCTCTGAGAAATACCCCACAATCCTGGTACCAGCTTCTGTCTTAGTTACTTTCTATTGTTGGTAAAAAGTACTGACCAAAACCATTTTGGGGAGGAAAGGGTTTATATTCTCTCACGTCTCCCAGGTCACAGTTCATCACTGCAAGAAGCCAAAGCAGGAACCTGGAGCTCAGACCAAGGAGGAACACTGCCTTGCTCAGCTTGGTTTCTTTTTTTTTAATTTCATATATACGTATGTATTGCTTGCATGTAGGTAAGTGCACCCGTGTCGAGCAATGCCTGCGGAGGACAGAAGAGGCTGTCAGATCCCCTGGAACTAGAGTTAGTCATTAGCTGCTATTTGGGTGCTGGAATTCAAACCCAGGTCTTCTGCAAGAACAGTCAGTGTTCTTAACCACTGAGCCATGTCTCCAGCCCTCAGCCTGGTTTCTTATACAACACAGGACCATTTGCTCAGGGGTGGCACCACCCACAATAGGCTGGGCCCTCCCACATTACTCAGCAGTCAAGAAAATGCCCCACAGATGTGGCCACAGGCCAGTCCAATGGAGGAAATTCCTCAGTTGAGGGTCCCTCCACTCACGTGTGTCAAGTTGACAACTGAAGCTATCCAGAACAAGATCAGAACCAGCTTGCACTTGCCAATGCATTGGAGGCGTGATCTGAGGACTAGAAGTAGGGAGGGCAACAGCAGGACTGAGCAGGAAGTGGAGAGGTCTTTCAAGGCTGGATGGGACCCCATCATCCATTCCTCAGCATTTATTAACACTCACTCTATACCAGGCTCTATTCCCTAGAAACCACAGAATTCTTAGCAGGACAGAAATCCTACTCCTAGCATTTGAGGTGTTGGAGCTCCTGTTCTCGCTGAGGGGTGACCAAGCCCCGGGATAGGACCCTTTTATTAACTCCCCCCTTCCCCTGGGTTTTAGAAAAGGGTTATAACGTCTCCCAGGGAGAGAGAAAGATGAACACCTTGCCTTTGCCCTGCAGGTGATGTTCTGCACCCTCAACACCCACAAAGTGGATATGGACAAGCTCCTTGGGGGCCAGATTGGGCTGGAGGACTTCATCTTTGCCCACGTTAAAGGGCAGCGCAAGGAAGTGGAAGTGTTCAAGTCTGAGGAAGCACTGGGGCTCACCATCACAGACAATGGGGCCGGCTATGCATTCATCAAGGTGCCAGGGTGGGCAGGGTGTGCTTAGTTCGGGGTCAGGGGTGGGGGGCTGCCGTGGGACCCAGGATGAAGCTTCCAGAGCTGACTTGCCTGCCCTTCTACAGCGCATTAAGGAAGGCAGTGTGATTGACCACATCCAGCTTATCAGCGTGGGCGACATGATTGAAGCAATCAACGGGCAGAGCCTGCTGGGCTGCCGGCACTACGAGGTTGCCAGGCTCCTCAAGGAGCTGCCCCGAGGCCGCACCTTCACCCTCAAACTCACAGAACCTAGAAAGGCTTTTGGTGAGCAGTCTTGACAGCCTGGACCACCCATGGAATGAACTTGAGCTCTAAGAGCAATCTGGACTGCAGTTCTGGGAGCTACCAGCAGGTGGCACCCAAGCCCTCAGTGCAAAGTGGGGGCAGCCCCACCCTACCCCAGATCCCTGACCTGGCTGGCAGCCCATCCTGGAGGAAGTTACCCCACACCTAACTTCCAGGAGCCATTAGCCCAGCAAAGTGCCCCCAACCCTGGCCAGCCCCTCCATCCTCAAGAAGTGAGGCTTGGCTGCCTTGTACTAGCCCTCTCCACTCTCCCACCCCTGTGTTTCTACCTGGCTTCACTAACTCCCAGGAATGGGCCTGAGGCCTCAGGTGGGGGCAGGGGACTCAGAAGCTCTTCCCTAGGCAGGTAGGGCTGATATGAGATCCAGCAGCTATACGGTCTCTGGCCGTGGGGAAGGTGACCAGGGACCCAGGCTCCGCCTCCTCATAGCCCTCACATCCTGGGGCAGAAGGTACCATCCCGTCTCTTTAGCTTTTTCTGTGCTGGAACCCCAGCTGCCCTTCTCCGTTTATGCCAAGCCCCTACCATAAGGAGCCTGCAGAGACTCAGAAAAAGTTGGGAGGTGGCTTTTCTCAAGCCTAGGTTCCTGCCCACTGTGGCTGAAATCCCACTACCTTTATCTCCCACAGACATGATCAGCCAGCGTTCGGCAGGTGGCCGCCCTGGCTCAGGCCCACAACTGGGCACTGGCCGAGGGACCCTCCGGCTCCGATCCCGTGGCCCTGCCACAGTGGAGGATCTGGTGAGTGAGCCAGCCAAGGCCAGTGATCACATTCTCATTACCTGAACAACTCAGGACACCTCCACTTAAATCTGTCACCTCCCAGCTTTGGGACCTTCCTTGGGCAAGTGAGCCTCAGTGTCCTCACCTATAAAGTGGGAGTCATAATACAATGTACCCATACCTTCCTGCAAGGGTGGACTTTAGTAGATACAGATAACATAGCTGGGAATGCTAGAACTTGTGTGATCCAGGCAGGGTTTCAGTTTCAAGGCCAGTTCAATCCACATGGTGAAACTTTGTTGCCCCATACATAATGTGCTAGCCCAGTGTGGGCACACCAGTAATCCTAGGAAGCCAAGGCAGGAGAGAGCATTTAGATTTTAAGGCCAACTTGGGAAATTTAGACTTCATCTCAAAATAATGTAGCTGGAGGTGCAGCTCAGTAGTAGAGCTCTTACCAAGGCCCTGTATTCCATCCCTGGCACTTCAGAAAAAAATGTGGGGGGGGCGCTCTCATGGGTGTTTTATGCACATGTATGCAGCAAGAGCTCCGTTGACATAACTGTGTTATCCCTGTCTCCCAGCCCTCAGCCTTCGAGGAAAAGGCCATCGAGAAGGTGGATGACTTGCTAGAGAGCTACATGGGGATTAGAGATACGGAACTGGGTGAGTGGTGGCACCTGGACTTGGGGAGGGGGTAGGAGTAGGCTTGCTGTACTGCTGCGCTCCTCATGCCACCTGGCCTCCATCTTTTCCTCCTCCCTGACAGCTGCCACCATGGTGGAGCTGGGGAAAGACAAAAAGAACCCAGATGAGCTGGCAGAGGCTCTGGATGAACGACTTGGTGACTTTGCCTTCCCTGACGAGTTTGTCTTTGATGTCTGGGGAGCCATTGGCGATGCTAAGGTCGGCCGCTACTAAGACTGGAACTGGACTCTGAGATGACCTGGACCTGGCCTGGATGGTGGTCCCAGAAGGGATACCACAGCCAAGACCTGAGCATCTGGCTTGGGCACAGAGTTAAGCACCTGGAGATGATATGGCATAGAAGTTGCCTTTGGCTCTGGCACTACTCCAATCGGTACCACCGTCTTTCCTGGTGCCCAGCCTGGCTGGGGTCCCTGGCCTTCCCCTGCCAGGTTCCCCGCCTACCTCAGCAGAGTCAGTGCACAGGGAGGGACCAGCCACACTGGACAGCCGCCTCTGCCCCAAACACTTTCCACCATCAGCTGCCAAATTGCTCCTTTTGTCTCAGTGGGGCCTCAGTTTTGTTTAGGGTCATGACCTTCCTACTTCTGAGGTCTACAGTGCAGAAAGAGGGCATCTCTTAGAAAAGGCAATACCATCCCCCGTTGGAACCCCTCCCCCAGGAGGAGCATCCTTAAGTTGGATTCTGTTACCTCCCCCTTTAAGTGGATACTGCTATGAATCCCCAGCCCCCATCACCTCCCCTCAAGCAGTGCAAGAGGGATGAGGGAGGCAGTGGGTTTTGTATCCAAACTTGCTGTCTTGGACATAAAAACTATTGGCTATTGGACCTGTGTGACTTTGGGGTAGGAGGGGGGTGACCAGGACTAGGAAAGAATGCAACAGCTGAAGTCTATCTTCTTGGGCTCTAAATTGAATTAGGAACTGGCTGGCCCACCACCCCCTCTCACTACCCCTGATGCAGATCTTGGCTGCAGGCCATGAAGCTTCCAGGCAACAGCAGAGATTCTGATTTACTTGGGTTTCGGACCCTGTCTCTGCTCATTAACAGTTCCTGGGTCCCTCATGTATGAGTCAACCCCTTGGTGTGGAGAGCAAGGCCCAACACCCTCAACTGAGGCCGAACATGGGGGCGGGGGGTGAAGGCATCCATAGCATGGTGCCTCACTGGGACATAAACCCATGGAGCTTGTTTTGACAGTCCATTTCATCCTAGGATTGAGGGGGATCAAGGAAAGGGTGGGTTGGGACCCTGGCCAGACCTGGAGGGAAGGGAGGCGACTGGAGCAAGGGGAGCCAGGCCAGAGGTCCCCAGTGGAATGTTTGGGGGTGAGCCCAGCCTGCAGGAAAGCTGAGCAAGGCTGGCTTCCTGGTTCCAGCAGGCGGATGCTGAGAAGCAGATGGGGGCCCTTGGCACAGGGCGTTTGTGTGCAGGAACTAGTGGCAACAACCGCTGTCAGGGTGACTTGGCGTCTCTGACCACTTGGGGGTCTTTGTTTTTCAGTGCTAGGGGTGGGACCCAGGGCCTCAAGCTAATGAGCCCTGCCTCAAGTTCTACTTTTCGGTGGTGCTTGTCATCATGATGGGGGCAGCTGAGGGGGTTGTTGACCATGTGTGTGACTCTCAAATGTTACCCTACTTCTCAGGGCATGAGATGAGGCTGCAGCTGTGGGTACAGGATGTAGAAGCTGTGGGTATGGATGCAGAAGCTGGCCTGGCTCCCTGAGAGCCTCAGCCTCCTCTTCTCCTGGGGTGACTCTCTGCTGGCCTGGACTTAAGCCCCTGTGTAAATTGTGGGTGGATGTCCTGACTAGGCTGGGACTCACTCAAGCAGGTCTACCCATTTTGCCCACTTCCACCCTACTCCAATACCCACAAAGGCTCTGGGAGGGCTGGGGGCCCTCCCACCATATGCAGGGCCAGCCCCCCAATCCTCAAGCCCCAATGGAACAGCACCCCCTCCCCACCCCTCACCCCCACTCCCTGTAGCCCTTCCAGCCTGCCCTGGGCGATGCTCACATTTTCCAGTGTTTAGATTTTTATCCGCTTTATTAATGAGGCAGGCAAGAGGCCCGAGCTGCGGGGCGCGGGGGTGGGGGTGGGGGCAGCTCTCACCCCACTGGGAGGAGGGGGTCAGGCAGACCAGGCCAACTAGAGAATCTTAGTCCTTGACAGGGAGTAACTGGACCCAAACACCCGCCCACTGCCAGCAACAGACAAGGGGTCTTGGCCACTCAAGGCCCCCAGTGGGCAGGCAAGCTTGGGGTGGAGCAGCCCCTGGAGGCCAGTGGAGCGCGGGTGGAGGAGGCAGGGAGCCCAGGAGCCGCCCCAGGAAGAGGGAGCGGCTTGCCGGGGAGCCAAGGAGCAACACGCAGCAGGCACCAAGCACTGGGCCATGGGGACCCCACATCCTGGCAACACTGGGTAAGAAGCTAGGTTTTGAGGGTCGGCAGGGAAAAGGGGAGGGCATGGAAAGATTTGGCTATGGCCACCCTGGTCTCTTCCTGCTGTGTTTATAGCTGTCCATCCTGGATAGTCTGTTCATCCATCTGTTCCTTCAGCCCTCTTAACCAGGGAATGGGGAAAGGGGTAGGCATCTAGGTGAAGGCAGTGGCAGGGATTGCCATGGAGACGGGACTCTGGGGATAGAGGTGGGTTCATGGGTACAGAGAGGGTCAGAGATATGTCTATAGGACCTAGAAGCCTTGGGGCACAGAAATGAGTCTACATGCATAGAGATGGGGCATTAGAAAATAAATGGGTCCCTGGGACAGGGATGTGCCTTTATAAGAGTTAGGTCATGGAGGTGGCGTGAATGTCGACAAGACTAAAAGGTGGCGTAATGTCTTTAATCCTAGCACTGGGGATGGCATGCCTTTATTCCTAGCACTTGGGAGACTGAGGCAGGTGGCTCTGTGAGTTTGAGGTCACCCTGGTCTGTGTATTGAGTTCCAAGCCAGCCAGTTGACCTGTTCCCCTACTCCCCACAAAGGAAGATGGAGATGAGGTGAAGGTTGGTGATGAGGTAGCTGGGGCTTTATGGTCAGAAATGGGCCAAGGTCTATCCCATGAGGCCATGGGCCAGGAACCTGCTGTGTTGGGAGACTGGAGGTGGGGGTGGAGATGGAGACCAAGATACTAAGGGCCTAGACCAGGTCCAGTCAAGCCTTCAAGCAGTGGACAGAGAAGACACATGGGGCAGTGAGGCCAGGAGCAAGAGATGAAGTGGAGTCAGAAATGGAGCATCCTCGTGACTCCTGTGGCTGTTCTTGGGCCTAGGTCGAGGCCACGGTGTCACATGGATACTGGTGATGGGACCCCAGCCTCACTGTGGCCTCCTTTCCTCCATGCAGCCCTCCTGGCCACTGACATGAGCCTCTGTGTGCCCCTCAACCTGAGCCTGGCCGACGAGGCGACCGCGTGCACAGCGCCTAGGGTCCCCAACACGTCGGCTGTGCCTCCGTTGGGCGGTTCTGGCGCATCGCCTGCATTGCCCATCTTCTCTATGACCCTGGGTGCTGTATCTAACGTGCTCGCGCTAGCGATACTGGCGCAGGCCGCGGGCCGTTTGCGGCGGCGCCGCTCCGCCGCCACCTTCCTGTTGTTCGTCGCAAGCCTGCTGGCCATCGACCTAGCGGGCCACGTGATCCCGGGCGCGCTAGTACTGCGCCTGTACGCGGCAGGGCGCGCGCCGGCCGGCGGTGCCTGCCACTTCCTAGGTGGTTGCATGGTTTTCTTCGGCCTGTGCCCACTGCTGCTGGGCTGCGGCATGGCCGTGGAGCGGTGCGTGGGTGTCACGCGGCCACTGCTCCACGCGGCGCACGTCTCGGTAGCCCGCGCGCGCCTGGTACTAGCCGCGCTGGCCTCCATGGCCCTGACCGTGGCCCTGCTGCCGCTAGCACGCGTGGGTAGCTATGAACTGCAGTATCCTGGCACCTGGTGCTTCATCAGCCTCGGTTCACCCGGAGGCTGGCGCCAGGCGTTGCTCGCCGGCCTCTTTGCGGGCCTCGGCCTGACCGCGCTCCTTGCTGCGCTCCTGTGCAACACACTCAGTGGCCTGGCGCTCCTGCGCTCTCGCTGGAGGCGCCGCCGCTCCCGACGGCTCCCCCAAACTTCGGGGATCCCCGGCCGCCGGCGCTGGGGTTCCCACCAATCCCGCTCAGCCTCCGCCTCATCTGCCTCGTCCATCGCTTCGGCCTCTGTCACCCTCCGCAGCTCCCGTGGCGGCGGCGGCTCGGCGCGTAGAGTCCGCGCGCACGACGTGGAGATGGTGGGCCAGCTCGTGGGCATCATGGTAGTGTCGTGCATCTGCTGGAGCCCCCTGCTGGTGAGGGGCGCAACCGCCCCCGGAGCCACGCTCCTTCCTGCCCCTGCAGCCTAGTTGAGGCTTCTCCCCCACTTTTGCCTTCTTCCAGCGTCCCAAGTCCTTACCGCTGCCCCTTTTGGGGTCTCTGCAACCCTTTCTCCAGCTCACTTTCTAAGCCCGCCACTTCGTTCATTCCCTAGCCTTCCTCCAGAATTCTTTTTGACTTGAGTCCTGTGTGCTTCAGGATACTGGAAATTCTTTTTGACCAGAGACCCCATCCATTGAAAGCTTTTCCTTCTTCACCCTCCTCCCTCCCGACATAGATCCGCATTGGCTCTAAAACCCGCCCCTGCATCCTAACCTTCCAGTCCCAACCCTTCCTCGCTTCGGTCCGCTGATCACACCTGCTTTTCTCACAGGTGTTGGTGGTACTGGCTGTTGCGGGCTGGAGCTCCAGCTCCCTGCAAAGGCCGCTCTTTCTGGCCGTTCGCCTCGCCTCGTGGAACCAGATCCTGGACCCATGGGTGTACATCCTGCTGCGCCAGGCCGTGCTCCGTCAATTGCTTCGCCTCCTGCCCCCATGGGCCGGTGCCAAGGGCGGCCCTACAGAGCTGAGCCTAACCAGGAGCGCCTGGGACGCCAGTTCTCTGCGTAGCTCCCGGCACAGTGGGCTTACCCACTTCTGAACGCACCTAGAGACTAAGCTAATCCACCCTGGGCTGGGTGCAGTCTTTGAGGTAAAAAAGCCACTTAGTGAGCCCAGAGCAATGTGTCCCATTCGGGCTGCAGTACACACTGGCCGGGAGACAGAAGAACCCTTCGAACAAGTGCACTTCTAAGGTTGGCCACGCGAGGGCGAAAGCTCGAAGGGCCAGAGGTGGGAGCCAGGGACCATCTTCAAATGCTGCCCCACCCACGCAATTTGGGTTTGGGGCTCCCCCACAAGCAGAGCTAGAGATTTAAGCTTCACTTCCTGTCTCTGCCGGCGCCACGATGGACTCTCATTTTGGTCCTGAGCTACCCCAATACAGCCCAAACAACTTGCACCCACCACAGCCTTACCCAGTGTGCTGAATCCCTTCCCCACCACAACAGTCTCCTCTTTGACCTTCAAATGAGCCCCATTACAGCCCCATCCCATAGATGTGCCTGCCTTGTTGTCACTCCCTCTAAGCACGCCCCACCCCAGGACTGCACACAGAGGCTGAAAAGGTATGTGTGGGGCAAAGCCCAAAGGCCTTCTTAAAAACTAAGTGCTCTTCGGCGAGGCAGGACGGGGGAGCTAGCGGCCCCCTGCCACAAAGTCAAAATCCCGGAAGGCCGCTTGTTCCGCTGCCGTGAGGGGCCGAGGGTCTCGGGGTGGGCTCAGCGTCGGGGCCTCCCCAGTGAACTCCTCGTCGAAGTTGCTGACATCAGTACGCCCCGAAAGCGTGGGCACAAAGGGTGGGGGCAGGCGTCGGGCCAGTAGGGCATCCCAGCTCAGGGTCTGTGGAGAGGAAGCCAGAGGGGTCAGGACAGAGACTGAGGGACTGGAGGGTGTCTTTGGGGCTCAACAGTAAGGAGACGGACATGGGGGGAGTACTGGGGGCTCAGGATCAATTAAGGGGTTAAGATGGCCCTGGAGTGACATGAGCCTGGAGAGGCAAGGGAATGGGGGACACAACAGAGGCGTGCAGGAAGCAACATTTACAGCCTGAGGTTAACAGGACTCTTGTGATGAAGCAACTGGACTTGGGTTGAGGATGAACTTGCACTGAATGGGCAAACACCCAGTCCTTGGGGTGACTCACCCTAAAGAAAGGCTGTTTTTTCACATCTTCTGCATCTCGCTCAGTGGACCCCAACCTCCGCTCTGGATTCCTCCGCAGCAGCTGCAGAGGGCTCATGAATCAAGGTGTGACCCCAGAGCCCCTTCCGAGCCCACTCTGCACTGGGGGGGGGGGGGGGGTC